TTTGCATGGTGTATGCCTGCACAATTTGGGTATAATAATCCCTTACTTATATCAAAATATTTCTGTATTGAAATAAATTGTGGAACCGACTCCTCTAAAACAATATACTGATAGAAATTTTGACTTTTATTATTTACTCATAAAAGCTAATTAAATATTTGCTGTAAGCCAAGTTTTCAGTATAACGAATTTCCATGTGTAAATACTTAATTCTCCTCATTTATCCTTCCTTTGTTATGTGGAATTCTTATCTTATTTGCCTTAGATTTTAGTTTTAGGTAGCACCTTTGATAGTTATGTGCTATCGATATTTGTCTGACAAATATATTTGTAAAATATTTTAGTTGCTCTTTATACCCATAAAATTTAGTTCAGTTCAGTTCACTAAACTAACTAAGAAAAGATTCTTCGCCGTCAATCATTGCACAGCATATGTTCATAGTAACTCTCTGAACAGAAATAAGCATTCCACCTTTTAGGATGATAGAATAACCCAGATACTTTCAAATGTCGAAACATAAGTTTGTGCATAGTATAGTGAAGTATATGTATAGCACTAAGCAAATTAATCGTTCTTGGTCTAAACAAATGTCCTCTCATTTTTTTACAAGAGGATTTGTCTTTTTTAAAGAGCGATATTTGAACAAAATTACAAGACAAGAAAATGGGAAACTGATGATGCCGACTACAATGCCGGCGAAACGTCTGGGAATGTACCACATCCACGGTTCGACTTTGGAAATAATTATGCATACAATGGACTCAGGACAAGGTGCGTTCCTTTAAGTCTTCCTACCAATATGACCAAGTTGCGAAAATAAGGTCAAAATATACCTGTTTTTATAAAAGTTTTATAAGGAATTTATTCATCTTAAGTGGCGGGTGATGAAGCATTAGTAGTTGATAAGACCACTCTACATTATAAAAGCGTTTATTTTTCGCCCTTCATCACAACGCCTCACTACTGCAGGTTTCAATAAGTCACAGGACATTGGTGATTCTCCAAACAAACCCGAACTCTTTCACTCATAATTATAGTGGGAGTGTGAATGGGACAATTTTGTACCCGTCATTACACTCGACTAAATTGAGTGAGTGCTGTTCTTATTCACTATCTACGATTGGTATCAAAACGCACTCAAAATTAACTTAACACTTCTATTCTGTTCAATTCTATTTTATTCTTTCCTATTCTGTTATTTCAAGCTTTTGTCTAAATATGTGCTGAAGTGGACACTAGAGGACATCACATCTTTATCTACTGAATTATTCGCCTGGTAAGATGTTGTGAATTTTTGTCAGTTTTTCGTTAAGAGGAATATGAAACTTGGAAGGTTAAATATTAAGGCTTAAAAATTATGCTGTTACTTCTTAATTTTCCAACAATTTATGATAGCCAATTTGTTTATTTTCAACGTAGAATGAAATACTAGACAAAGGACCTTTAATAAGTAGATACATGCAATGCATCTACTGAACACTGAATAACGTATACACATTTTGACACT